TATTCTATTCTATTCTATTCTATTCTATTCTATTCTATTCTATTCATTATTGTTGTTCCCAACTGATACCAAAGAGCATTATATAGAATAGACTTAAGTAGACTTTTGACTTTTTTTCTCTTTGTCTTTAGGATTGCCCTCCAGAAGCAGGTGATTTTCGTACCCAGCAGTGTTCAGCACACAACGATGTCAAGTATCAGGGACAGTTTTATGAATGGCTTCCTGTCCCTAATGATCCTGACAACCCATGTTCATTGAGGTGCCAGGCAAAGGAGACAAACCTTATTGTGGAACTGGCACCTAAAGTCCTGGATGGAACACGTTGTTACACTGAGTCACTAGACATGTGCATCAGTGGTTTGTGCCAGGTAAGGAATACATTGTTTTGTTGGTTTCTCCTCCTTTCAGTTTATACACAGTGGCCCCTGTTTAGTGACTTCCTAATTTATCAATGACTTTCAGTTACTATTGTGATGAAAAAATATTTTTTCGCCAATCCTCACATTTATGACCTTTGCTTAGTAAAGCAAAGCAAAGCTGATCATAAACAATTATGGTTCACTTAGCAGTTGCTTCAGTTAACAACTGAATTGCTTGTCACTAAATAAGGACTACTTAGATAAACTGGTTATTCATAGTTTTACTCAGTTCTACCCTCCCACTTATGTGTCATTTATTTTTCTAGTCTTTAAAGTATTGATGTCACTTCCATACTTTTCTATCAATTCATGAAAAATAACACTTAAAGACAGATATCTTTGGAGAAAATTGATAAGAACCTCCATTAATCCAGAATGGAGTTTTACCCATCATCTTTCTCATTAGTACAGTATTTGGAACAAAAGCATTATGAAAATGTTTACAGCTTTAGGAAGGTGCTGTTACTTCTATGACCTCACCATGTATTAGAGCAGCAGTTCTCAACCTGTGGGTCATGACCCTTTGGGGGGTTGAAAGACACTTTCACAGGGATCACCTAAGACCATCGGAAAACACTTATTTTCGATGGTCTTAGGAACTGAGACACCGCTAAGCAAACCCTTCTCTCAGCCCCAGGTGGTAATTGAAGCATCAGCACTATCGCGGGCCTTCCTCCACGTCCCTTGGCTGCCCTCCAAGAACAACCCCCAGCTTACGGAGAGCCTCAGCTTTTCGAACTCTTCTGAACTAAGAAATCAGGCCCGGCTCTTAGCGCGGCTTTTCTCACAACCCTCCAGCCCTCCCAGCCCCGCCTTGTCTTCACCCTTCAGTCCATGTGGCAAGATTTCTAGGTCCGTGCCAGCTCGGTGTCTCCTCCACCATTGCTGCCTCCTTGGCTGCGGCCAAAGGGTTGCCACCAAACAAGGATTGCGGCCTCCCTGCTCGACCTCTCACTTGCGGGAAAGCCGCCGGAGCTGCGGGCACAGTTGTCAGTGTTGATGGGAAGGAGGAGGTGCAGCCCAGAGGAAGGAGCTGGAAGTGGGAGACGGCGCAGCTCCAAGCTCCAAGTTCCACGCTGCCGCCGCCCGTCATGCAGGGGATTTTGCCAAGGAAATGGGGTGGAAAGAAATTCGGCATTGGTGCTCCTGAAGGGAAGCTAGAAGGGGAAATTCTTGCACTATGGAGGTGTCATTGTCCCAGGAAGTACTATTTGGGGTGGGAAGGGAAGCAGGGAACATGGCTCATCATGTTTGGGGGAGCAGAACTTGGGGGGGCAGAACTACCTCTTGGGAGCCTGCTTGGGGAGCCCCTCCCCCCAGCTGGAAAGGGCAGATGAACAGAGCCAAGAAGAAGGAAATTTTGTGCATTTATTTCAAAGTAAATGGTAGCAAGTGGATTTGATTTTTACCTTGCCTTTCCTGCTGATTAACTTAAGGGGATGTAGATGCCTAACACTCCCACCTCTTCCTTTTCCTCCAATGATTCCATGAGGTGGGTCTGGCCCAAAGCTCCCCAGGCTCCTAAGGAGGCTTCAACCCACAACCACTGGTTTCTAGCTAGACCTCGGCCACCATGGCTCTCTGGCCTGCTGCCAGGCTGGTCATGTTGGCGGCAGCTCAGGAGGACAAGCAAGTACCAGAGGACCCTGCTGTGGGTCCAAACTGCAACAGATTGGTCCAAAAGACGACCTCGCAAGGTGCATTCAGGGGTCTCTGATGGGGGGTGTGACTTCCTGGCCTGGCTCCCCTTCTGGCCCAAAGGCTCCCTCCCACCGTTTCTCTTTTGGGCTAAGGAGAAAGGCCAGGAAAGGCTACAGCTGGACACCAGGTGCCTCCTCCAATCAGTTCTCCAGCCAAGAGGCTTTGCACATGCCCCCCCCACACACACACAAAGCCAAAACCCCAAGATTTCTTGCTGTGTGCTGCATCTGGCTCCTTCTCTCCAGGCAAGGGCTTTTAGTCCAGTCCCACCAAATCCAGCGGGCAGAGAGCAAGGGGACACTTCCTCTGGTGTGGGGAGTCCAGTGGGAAGGGTGGTTCCTCGCCTTGGCATGTCCCACTGCTGTGCCAGCCCCTGCCTGGAAAGAGATCAGACACCTGGCACTGTGTGTGCACTGTGTGTGCTTCTTCTTCCTGTGGGGCTCAGGCCTGTTCCTGGCAGGGCTGGGGGGGGGGCAATTTCTCTCCCTTACGGATATGCTGGGTGTGTTAGTGAGTCAGAGAGATGGCAGGGCCAGGAATGGGAACTGGTGCCCTCAGCCTCCACCACACATTCTTGGCATCCTCTATGGCACAAGTCCAAAGCTGGCATGCACAGGGCCGGGGGGGCTTGATTAAAAATTTTATACGGAGCAACAAAAATTTTCATATAATGCAAAAATAGTATTGTAATATTTTTTT